ATATATATATATATATATATATATATATATATATATATATGTGTGTGTGTGTGTGTGTGTGTGTGTGTGTGTGTGTGTGTCGGAATCTATCATTTTGTTCACATCAGTCAATCTGTACATGTACGTAGGGTGCTATGGGAAAATTGTCGCCATTTTTTATTTTTTATTTCGTCCATGCGTGTTGATTGTTTTTGATTTTGTCTATGACACAGTATAGTAGGGTCAGTTGGGCACCGTCTGTGAGAAAAAGAGCACCATGACGTAATTCACTCCGCTAGAAATTTCAAATCCTCACGCTGTATTGCTTGGCATTATCGCCGTAAGCGCCAATGCAAACATTTTAATCTGTTTGGATGTCAACACAGAGGCCTGCATCAAATGCTTTGAGGAGTAAGTGCTGCCCTGTGTCAAGAGGGTGGCTGCTGGAAGACCCTATGTATGGCAACAGGACTCTGCACCATGTCATACAAGAAGAAACTAATCATAGCTGTCACACAATTTCTGCTACAATATTACCCCTTATATCTGCCCACCTAACTCCCCAGACTGCAACCCCCTGATTAATATATTGTGGGGTGCATTTCAGCGAGAGACCAAAAAAAAAAAACATCTTGTAGCACCAAAGATGAACTGAAGGCAAGCATTATTAGCAGCACTCACCAATTTAATCAAGGAGACCGTCCAGAAGGGATGCAGGAGATTTCAAAGTCGTTTGGAGGCTGTGCTTGAAGACAATGGCGATTTTAATCAATAAATTTACTCTTTAGTATTTACAGACATTTTGGTGTAATTGTGGTCAATATATCTGTTATTTTCAATTAGACGACAATTTATGTATCGCACCCTATCGCACTCTCAATTAGAAATGAGGTAATATTTTGCTTTGAAAATTTGAAAAAAAAAAATTCTATTACCAGTTACTGACCATTCGCCTGAAGAGGTCCAATGTAGTACCGAAACACGAAAGCTATTTTGTAGCGATCTCAACATGTTTTTGTTTTAATAAGTAAAACAAAATAATAACATATTGCTCTATTTTGTACTGAGCAATTTTTAAAAAAAGTAAATGCTACGATATAGAAACTTGACTCTCCCGTCGAATTCGAACGTATGAGGGTCAAGCAGATCAGTTCCTAGGAGCCGATAGCACATGAGATTTGATTAAGGTTTTGTGCAGAACCATCCACACTTTTTGAAGGACCCAATACAGAGATCTGGTGCATACTTGCCAAAAGATCCTGAAACGACTCTACGCAGGTTTTGAATTCAGTGTTGTCCTTCTCGTAGGTTCTACTATAGAACCTGTTATGTACCCATAGCTGGAGGGAGAAGAAGAGGATTCGTACCTTTCCCAAGGGTGTTAGCATGTAAGTGAATGCAGTGGATTCCTCAAACCGAGCCGCTATCCATTAATCCACCGTACCTGCTTATCTATTCCCCACATCTACGGGGAACAGGTATCTTGCTGGACTGTTTTCTCAGTAGATTGAGCCGCGACTGAGTCATCCTCTTCCGTAGACAGAAGTCTTGTCAGTCGCAAGCCAGACAGCAAAATGCCCCGGCTTGAAACATCTACCAGTCTTACCTCTGATCGGGAGCTCTTTATAATGATGGACGGGAAAAGAAGAGGACTCATACCTTTCCCAAGGGTATTAGCACGTAAGGGTATAGCGAAATCATTAAGGTTTTTGAGAAAAAGCATTTTATTTTTAGTCGTATGCTAAAAAGGAATGTTTTAAATTAGCATACGACTAAAAATAAAATGTTTTTTCACAAAAACCTTAATGATTTCGCTATAATTATGTAACAATAATGTAATGATATTCCGCAGACAAATCTACGGTTTATGTTTCCACATCTCATTGCATGGTTACAAACTATACACCTAAATTGAGCTTGAAATATTATGGAATCGGCACAAATTTTTTATAAAATAATTATATATATATATATATATATATATATATATATATATATATATATATATATATATATATATATTTGTAACAGCAAAATTGTCCATTACTGCATTTCGCTTTGAAATGCATACCCCATCCTACCTCGGCTTACCTCTTTCCGAAGGTGACTGATATGTGGATAAAGATTATCTCTTAGGTCCCTTACCAAAATGGTCGGCCCAGCCGTTTGCATAGTAATTAATTTTGTGAAAAACATGCGTAAATTTCAAGATTGGTTATTCCTTAATTTTCGCTTGAGGATGAAACAGGGCTTGATACTTTAATTCAATTTAATTTTAATAATTATATTTAGGTTTTTGGCCCTCGTTTTTGAAACATGAGAACTCTTATGTAGCAAAGGAACCTTTTTTTTTTAAATAATTATAATTTAAGCTCTACTTCTGTATGGAGCACTTTTTTTTTTTAAAAAAAAATAAATAAAATAAAAAAATACGAAAGAACGCCGGATTATTCACCTATTTTTTCTATATATATCTGCACACACACACACACACACACATATATATATATATATATATATA